CTCCAGCCCGAGGCACAAAGGAGTGCTCCAATTTGTACCCCGGGCAGGAGAGATACGAAATATCAGCCGGAGAGGAAACCTGCGTCTCGGTCAGAAAGAGCAAGGCCGGCTTCGCCGTCTCGAGATGGTAGTGGACGGCGTTTAGGTTAGAGTGAAGTCCCCTGATGTTGCAGAAATTCACGGATAGCGTGGCAGGGGTCGCCTTGGTATTGTTGCTCAGTTTGCCCCAAGCAGTTTTGTTTTTGAGCGGAATTTTGCCCCCCCCAGAATACGCGGGGCAGCCTGAGCACCCACGCTCAGGATTGGAATAACATGGTCGTGGATGCTCAGCGAGGGATTCTCCAGGGGTACTGGTACCCTCCTGGGGTAGTCTACTTTGTAATTCCGCTACCATGTTGATGGGGGGGGGGGGGGAATTGGGCCTCCGGCCACCTGCACTCACCAGACGAAACGCAGAAGCAGAGCCTCTACTTCACGCCGGTATTCTGTGAGGTCGTGGTACCAACCCGGCTCGAGCCTGCCCATACGTGCAACAGCAAAAAACTGCTGCGGGGCTCTACCACCGAAAAACAGCACGTAGACGCGGCTCAGAAGAGAAATCGGTCTGTAGTTCTTCAAGAGAGCGTTGTCACCTTTCTTGAAGAACAAGACCACCGCACTTCTGCTCCACGCCTCCGGTGTAATGCCACCATGGAGGACGGAATTAAAGAGCTTCTGAAGGACTTCAAGTATCGGTCTTCCACCCGCTTTCAGAAGCTCCGCTGTAATTCCATCCTCGCCTGGGGCCTTACCGTTTTTAAGGTGCTGGAGAGCCATTCTAATCTCGCTCAGACTGACGTCCGGGATATCTTCGGAATAGTGTCGGATGAGACTCGCTCTTGGATCGTTACTCACACTTGCGTGTGGCTCCAACGATGACGTGTACAGCTGCCCATAGAACCTCTCAATTTCCCTCAAAATCTCAGGTGTCCCGGAAACGATGCTGCCACATTCTGTCTTCAGCTTTGACAGGTGGCTCTTTCTGGCAGACAGATCTCTGGCAAAGACTTTGGAGCCTTGGTTCCGCTCGATCGCTTCTTCAATACGAGCTGTATTGAAGTTGCGTAAGTCCCGCCGCATGCATTTGGAGATCTGTCTGTTCAGATGCCTGTATGCTGTCAAGTCTGTTGAAGAATGTAGCTTCATCTCCCGTCTAACAGCCATGAGATTAAGAGTGTGATCGGAGAGTTTTTGTGTTCTTCTGCGGCGGGTCTTGCAGAACTTAGCTCCGACCGCATGGACAGTTTCCACGAGCTTGTCATTCATATCGTCCACTTCATTGCAGTCTTCTAGGCACTGAAAACGGTTTTGTAACTCGAGCTGAAAGGTTTCGAGACCTTGGAACAGAGCACGAGGGGGACGGAGCGTTGACTTCATTAGACGAGACCTCTCCAACTTAACGTTTAGGTTCAGTGTGCCTCTAACCATTCGGTGATCGCTACCAGTTTTCACCCTCGCGATCACTGAGACATCACTGAACAGTTGTCGTCTGGTCGTCATAATGAATCAATCTCATTTTTTGTCGAACCGTCGGGGCTCGACCAGGTCCACTTCCTGTGGGGCCGCTTCTGGAAGAAAGAGTTCATCATAAAGAGTCCCTCTTTCTCCATGAAGTCGGCCAGCTGCTGGCCCCTTAGGTTCCGTTGCCCTATTCCAAATTTCCCTACTTTCAGCTCACCGTTCTCTCTTGTGCCTAGTTTTGCATTAAAGTCTCCCATTAACACCGTATATTGGGTTTTGGAGGAATGCATGGCTCTAGAGATATCCTCATACATTTCCTCCACCTCCCCATCGGGGTGTGCCGAGGTTGGTGCGTAAACCTGTATGACCTTCAGCGAATACCGTTTGGTGATTCTGAGTATAAGGTACGCAACCCTCGTCGACACACTCCCGATCTTTACAACGTTGTTAACGAGAGACTTGTGGACGATAAATCCGACACCTCCTTGGGACAGATGGTCGCCCTCCCGGTGATAGAGCAAGTTGCCGGATTCGAGGATTACCGTGTCCTCCCCCTCTCTTCGGACTTCGGATAATCCTATAATATGCCAGCGCAACTTGTCTATCTCTTCTTCCAGCTCCACGATCTTCTCGTTAGTCCTCAGGGTGCGTGCGTTGTACGTTGCCAGGTCGAGTCGTCTAAGGTGGCAACCGAACCTCCACCGGAGATTCTTAGCACCCCCTGCCCCGCCGTTACCATGGTCGCCACCGTAGCCAGGAATAGCGGGGCCGCCGGGGACTGGGGGCCGTCTCTTTGTTACATTCATAGGGGGGTATTTGCCATAGTTGCCACGCTTGGCGAGCGGGTTGGCAACCGCAGTTTTTTTATTATAATTTTGGATATTATCAGGAAGATGCTGCTGCCCATCTCCTGCCTGTTTCCCTTTGTCGCCTTTTACGACACCCACGGGAGGATATGGGGTAGTGGTATTCTTGACCGCCACTACACGGTAAATATATTTTATTCTTATTGCTTAAAATTCACAAATCTACTAGGTATGAACAAGACAAGACAAACAAAAGAAGAAACGACTTAGTTCTATATACCGATCGCTGTAAAATGACATTTGCTTCAGTACAATACGAGAAAAGGGCAGTATACTTATATAATAAAATAAATAAAATCTTAAGCATATATCTATTGCATAGCATACAAGTTAAAAAGAAAACAATAGAATGGTTGAAAACTTGAAATTACAACGAAACCGAAACACTTTTAGAAAAAATTACTTAACTTGTTACACATAATTAATAATTTACTAAATATACCATACCTCAACATGCACACACTACACACACATACACTACATAATCACACAACTAACACCAACGGATATTTTATTGTAAAAATACTACATAAGTAACTATAAGTCAATAATCTATGTGTTACTCAAGTTCTAAACACTCATTTATATAAATGAAGGACGGGAAGAGCGGAGCCTCCTAACACAAGTTTCCTAACCTAAAAGGAGTGTTCCGATAATGTATTTAATTTTAAGTATTAGGTCTGAGAATAAAGATTTTTTGATTTTATTTTGAACTATAATTGTAGTTTACTATTAATTTTTAAGTAGCAAATTTATGAAAGCTCATGTATTAGATATCAGAGAATCAATATACGTGTATTATGGCTGCAGTTTCAGTCTTCGAATGAGTCGGTTCATCCGGGAAAGGTCCACGCTCGCACAGAATACCAGCGTGAAATAGCATCTATAATGAACGTGAATAGAATTATTTTTTTGTCTTTTGCTTTGAGTGACGAGTACAATCCTTTCAATTATTGATTACTGGTATTCAATTTAGTGATTGGCATCGCTATATCGAAATTTCCAAACCACTCCAGTATTTTTAGGATACGCTCCATATGGGAAACACGGAGCTTTGGCGGCCCGCTCATGCTTTTTCAGCTTGCCTGACGGGAAATCTTCCTTTTTCCTGTCTCTTAATATATCTAGTATTTTGATTTACATGTACAGATGCAGCACGAATGGGTCTATAACCGGGGAAGGACCACGCTCTCACAGAATAAGAGCGTAAAATAGCAGCTTAATGCTGCCGTGTTTTGAGTGATTATGATGTTATGATTAACATGATGAGTATAGAGAACCGGAGACCTTTTTTTTCTAATTACGAAGCGTTCTAATTTATTCCCCAGGGGTGACAAATCTTCCACTTTTTGATCCTTTATTAATCGTGGATAGATGTTAGATGTTACCGTAGCATTCTCTTGTACATCAGAGGGAGTGGACCGTGTGCTCGCAAGTCACTTATATTCAATAAAAAATCAACCATATGGAAATATATTACATTAAACGGCGAGGGAAATCACAGCCGCAAATATTAGTACTAAGCTTCAGGTACATAAGCGACAAACAACGATTTGAATAGCTACCACACTGGCATGTTACAATGATAGTTATGAGGTCGGTTCGAGGTCATTGGAAGATTGATAATGTACTGCACAGTGATTTATTGGTGTAACCTTCAAATGTTTTGTAAATTTACAGCTTATATAATTTATCCCACTTCTGGGCACAGGCCAATCTATATTTCTGAAAGGGTTATTACCGCAGTTCAATTTATCAAATTGCAATTCCTTATAACTCTAGTGCAGTGTATATAGACTAACTCCACCCAGTGAGTGGTCTTAGAGTGAAATAGTATATGTTTGCGCAGTTACTAAGTTGAAAAAGTGATAACTTGAGGGTACACTCAAGAGTCTCGAACCCCGTACGTTTTGTTCGTGGTAAACCGCTGAATCCGCAGCCCAGGCTTGATAACACTCTTGCTTACTGCGTAATGCAGTCTTACAGGAGCGACCACAAGGCTGTGATCTTTCTCCGATGGGTACCACAGATGATGGCATAAATAGTTCCACTCCCTGTAGCACCACATCAGTGACAGAGTCAGCAACAGCGCTGGGATCATCCGGCGAGAAGCAAACCCGCCCACATGTGTAATACGTGGAATATTTTTGAAAATCAATCAGGTCAGCTTGCCATAAATCATCTATTCCTTTAATAATCGTATGCTTACGAGAAAAATTTCTTCTTGCTGCTTTTTGAAGCTCATTGACTATATATTGTTTACTCATTTTGGGCGAGTTTTGATGCAATCATGAGGTCGATTTCCTTTTTAGTGTAATACATTGTCCTGAAATTGATAGTAGTCAATTTTTCTAAAATCTTAACACGTTGGCTGCCACGGGGGGTCAAAATGACCGGCACTTGGTAGAAGCGTTGGGGCCATGGGGGGCTTAAATGACCGGCACAACTAAGGTGAATTTGAACACCTTTTGCTCGCTGTCGGCCATGCGTGTAACGTAAAATACCATTAGAAGTGGCCGGCGCGGCCCCAATGATCACTTTAGATAACTTGGCCACAAAATATTTTTATAATTTTTTGGTTGTAGGAATGTTTTTGTAGCCTGTAGCATGTAAATTAAAGACAATATACTTTTTAAAATATTTTTATTATTATAAATCAAAGACTAGTGTTATTTAGAGACACATTATTTTGTGTTGAGATCAAAGTAATTTAAAATTAAAAAACAAACAGAAAATTAATGTTTTTTATCAAAACACAATCTGCACAAATATGGCTTGTCTGGGCAAACTGAACAAAATGTCGTAACCTTTTTGGTTTTGTTTTTGGCAATTTTTCTTCCATGCGTTTGTGAATTAATTTTGTAACAACCTACACAAAATTTTCTTGACGTCGCAGCCTTTCCGTCTGCTTTTACAAGAGAATGTTTTATTCTCTTTGGCCTACATGAAATGTTAGCTCCATCACGTGGGTTTGAGTCAATCATTTGTTGTGACAGTTTTCGTCTAAATTCAATAATAGGTATCTTCTTTTTTGTTGTAGCTTCATATAAAACCCGAGCATTTACTACAGCTGTGTTTAGAAGCAGTTCTAAGGCCAACTTCTTGTACCACTTGATAGACTTTCGAAGCGGAGAAGAATACGCTGTCATTTGATCCGAGAGGTCTACTGCTGCCTTAGCTTTATTATAATCCATAATTATCTTCGGCTTAATCACCTCTATTCCTCTCTTATTTTTAGTTTTTATAAATCCTATAGAGTGTTTAGTTGACAGTAGACAAACTTCACGTTTGTCCCTCCATTTCATAACTGTAATTCCCTTACTGTTTTCTTTGGCTGCAAACTCACCAGGCTTTAATTGGGCTTCCATCACGTATTTCGGTAAGTACTTTCTGTTTTTGCGTAGAGTACCAATAAGATGTGTCTCATTGTCAATTAACTTTTCTGCCAAATCCAAACTTGTGTACCAATTGTCTACAAATACAGAATAGCCCTTTCCTAGTAAATCCTCACACAGTCTGAGCACCACATTTGTCGGTGTAGAAAAAGCAGAATCGAGTTGTTTTCCAGAATAAACCTCAATTTTCCAAGTGTATCCGGGAACAGTACATAATTTAAATAGTTTGATACCATATTTATGGCGTTTTTGCTTATTATATTGTCTAAAGATTACTCTACCACGAAATGGAATCATGCTCTCATCCACACAAAGATATTCATTAGGTGTATAGTGGTAAGCAAAATTAGCATTCAAGGTACTTAGAAGATTGCTTATTTTCCATAAACGATCATTATCACGAGCCTCCGCGTTATTAGAAAAATGCAACATCCTCAGTAATATTTCAAACCTGTTGCGGCTCATAATATTTTTAGCGAACGGTTGTGCATACATTGGGTTATTAGACCAATATAGTGCCAGTTTTGGTAATTTCACCAAACCCATCCAAATTATAAGACCAAAAAATTTCTTGATTTCTGTTTTATCAGTGTCCTTCCACAAGTGTAGCCTGGATTGCCGCGATAATCGACTTTTAGATAAAACTTGCTTGGCAAAAATATTGGTCTGTCTAGCTATATCTTCTAACAGAGCCTCTGGTACCATCAAATTATAAAAATCACCAGGTTGACCGCCAGCTAAAGCGTGTCGCAAATGCATCGGCTTCAAACCAGAAATTTCAGTGTAAGGTATTATCTTAGGTTGTTTACCTTGTGGTTCATGCCATTCCGTATTTGGAGTGTAACCAGACTCTGACGGTGAGGGTACAAGGACTTCTTCGTCTTCAGTATCAGATGGCACTATGCAGCGCTTCCTTGCACGGCGATTTGGAAACCGAATAACCTCTTCATTATCACTTGAATGACTCTCCGTCTCACGAAATTGGGATTCAATATGTTCTATTTCACGAAAATCATCTAAAGTTAGATCCAATTCGTCAAACAACATGTTCATTTATAGCTTTTATATAAAGTAATAGCAATAAACTAGAATATTACGTGACCATTTAGCGCGCACTCCGACCTATGACAAATAAAACTTTCCACTGAGTTGTTTACCTTCAATTACAAAAATATTATTCGCACAGGACGCGGAAGAAATGTCATGCGGGGGCAGCGGGGAAGGGACGCAGCATGCACTATCCTAATATTTATTTATACGTCACTCATCAGTAGCGCGCTCGCTCGGGCGCAGGATGGTTTTGGCGGGAATTTTTACGCGATTTACAAGGATGACCGGCGATTTGACCGGCGTGGCTCCAATGAAAAAAAAAATTACATTTGCGCCGCGCCGGGTGTAAATGACCGGCGGACTAAAACAGCACATAATATACAAAAAAATGTATATAAACATATATTATGTATAGAAATCTTATAAATAAGTCGTTTCACGTCATTTAAACAACTGATGAAAAACGCAAATATATTCGGATTTCCATATGGCAGGCAACGTGTTAAGGTACTTTTTGACATTATCGTAAATTGTTTTCATTTCATTTTTAAGTTCTTGAACACATTTATCCACATATTCTTGATTCACAGTCTTATCATCTTTTTCAGGAGTTTACAGTCCTTTTAATCTTGTTGATTTCAAATCAAAATCACCAGCGTCAGTTCTTACTAAAGCGTCACTGAGAATATCAGAGCATTCAGATAGTCGTAAACGCCTATGAACATGATGACCAAATTTGTCCATATTCATAGCGGTCTTATCGGCTTCTGAAATGAAATGGTACTGCGTAATCCTCCTGTAGGCAGTTTAATATATTTAACGTCTTTTATGATCCGAGATTCATGCAATTCTTCCACTATTGCATAAATTTCATTGTAAACCCCTGAGTTACCAGCTGCCCATGATCCAAGTCGTAATTTTAACCGTTCCACTAACTCGTTTGGATCATTCCAGTAAACCAAATCAGTGTCTATTTTAACTTCTTTTAAAATATCAACTCCTTCTCCTTTTGGAAGACTTTCTGCACTACTTTTATGATTTCTCGAGTGCTTAAACAGTGGTTTGATCACTTGCATATATTTAAATCCTTTGTTACTCTTAATTGGTTTGGATGGATCATAATTACGTTTGTGTGCATTAGTATGCAAAAGTAACAATTTGTAATTTTGTAAGTCTTCCTCTGTCACAATATCTAAATTAGGTAGCTTTTTAAACAATAAGTCTATTAAACCTGGAGTTATTTTCAAACTATGATTTCCAATTTATAAGATGTGATTATTATCATAGACACGAAATGGGCCGAGCATTAGTTTCCCAAATTCATTTCTGACACCATAAGGCACATCTTATAGTAATTCAGATGAAATAGTCCATGATAATGAATCATTTGCCATACTTATCATCCGCAGGAAGCGAGTGAGTAAGGGTTTTGTGGGATGCTGTATAAACATTGTTATCTGAGTTTTCTTCATTATTAACAGAATCTTCAAACACATCACTTGAAGAAATCGATGACTCACTTGTGCTGTACTCAGGTTTTTAATAAGGTGAGCTTGGTCTGTATCTTCATTTAAATGCTGCTTTTTTTAGTTTTTCTGGTAAGCATATTAAGTGGATCAACGATAAGCTTAAATATTGTTTCCAAATCCAAACTGTTTGTATTTTTTGCATCTTTTATCATTTCTACCTTTCTTTTCACAGCTGCAGCAGATTTTACAATTTGTTTCTTGATTTCTCGCTCCATTTTAAAGGAATTGTACTATGTTTGACTACTCAGCAGAAACTGATTGCTTTGTGACAAAGCAGCTATTTAAATGTTAGTTTAAAATTATGTTACGTTTTTATGTAATTATGTTGTGTATGTTAATTAGGTAATTATGAATGTATCAAACTTCATTCTGTAACAGCCTTTATTTCGTTCACAGTCTTTATTTATAACAATATAATTGAAAGGTTTACTCCACACAGTTGAACACATTTCCTGGAACTGAGACCATGTCATGTCAGATCCTACATGTTCGTCATAAATGTGTCTCAGATTTACGTAATCTTGTTTAAACAATATGATCAGGTTAGCGTTATCTCTAACTAGTTGCTTAAGTATCTTAGTATACGTTTGATTAATATAAAAACAATCAATGTTCTTATGTCGACCCATGGCAAAATAATTGCGTATGTTGTTATGATTTTCACAAGCTACATCGTCAAATTTGATAATTGAGTTAGGCGAAGCTTCGTGTGGACTCAAAATTTCGCTATTATGATTATAATTGTAATAAGATATACCTTCCACATTCTGCAGTACTTTTTCTAAACATAAGTATTTAGGTTTGTTACGGCCTACGGCTGCTCCCTTAAAGGATCAGATCCTCAGGGGCCCATGAGCTGAAGTCCTCCCGAGCAGACGTAGGTCGGGCTCAATGTGGCCACGTGGAATCTCTCTAATTACTCTAAAATATATGGGGGAGAGTTATACTACGGACAGTCGACCGGAAGGAATTTGGCGGAGTTCACTTACCTCTATCCAAGGCGACTGGTCCCTCCGGAGTCGGTCAGGTCGCATGTGGTTGTGTAGTGCAAGGGAAAGAATGGTGATGTGGTGTGTATCTGGGTGTGACTGATGGTGATTGAACCTAGACCTTAGCCGTCGGCAGCAGCCCGAGCGTTGACACCGCTCCAACTTGAGGGGGCCTTTCGAGGTTATCCACAGTCACTTTCTTGGTTCACCACGATGACAGTCACTTAACTCTATCGTACTATTAACTAGCTTACCGAAGTCACTAACTATCGCGGGGTATAAGGTTACCGCACAAAACACGCCCGGAGTTTCTGGGTCAAAGGTCACTACCGGTTCGCGTGGCAACAGATAGTTCTAAATACGGAGGCCGCACTAGCTTATATTGTCGAATGCACTTATACAGATTCTGAGTCGAACCCAATAAGTCCCGGGAAAGGCTATCCAAACAGGTAATGCGCGTTATAATTCCTAGACAGGATATTTACTAGACGCCCTAACTATTCCGCGGTTCCCGCACAAAATTAACAGCGTGCAAACATTAGCACATCTGGCCGATGACTGACTCGCTTGCGACCCGCGCGCCACTGCCACGCTCGGAAGAACTTCAGACCGGAATCGCGCCGAGCCGAGTGACATCTGGTGTCGATTCCGACAACAGAGTTTTGCGCGAACAGGTTGATATAAAGACTTTAAATATACATATAGGTTGCGAAAACGCGGTCCATTCTGATGTAACATTTAGTTGGTAACTAAGTTAGTTATTCCGCAATTCGATGGACCGCATACAATACTACGTATCGTATTTGGCAATAAGCTCCCATGACGTTTAACCTTATTTTTTGGTGCAGGATAAATACATTCTAATTTAAGTGATTCTTTTTGTTTGAGAAATTTCATAACAGGTTTGTTAACTTGTCCGTATTGGCTGATAGGTTTTAATGAACTAACGTTATTTCAATCGTGTTAATAATTTAAAAACTTGAAAAAGTTGCTGAAGATAACTTAGTCTTCAGCTTTAGTTCAAAAGCATTGTTTTTTATAGGATAGAGTGACAAACGAGCACACAGTCCACCTGATGGCAAGTGGTTGCTGTGGCCCATAGACATCTACACCTATCCTCGTTTGCAAATCAAAATACAGATGCGTTGTCACCCTTGAGAATTAAGATGGAATGCCTCTTTTTCCAGTAAAAAGGGTCTCCGGTTCTTAACACTCATCATACGAAACACAGCAGCGTTAAGCTATTATTTTACGCTGGTATTCTGTGAGAATACCAGCGTAAAATAGCAGCTTAATGTGTCCTTCCCCGGTCGAGCCAACCCATTCGTGCTACAACTATACTACTAATATAGCTGCAGCATGGCTCTACCACGTAAAAGCATTCACTCACTCTTGCTTCGCTCAAGCTATATGCCCACTGAAGACCATAATTCTCTCAAATATAAGTGCAATTTTTTTTTAGTCTAACCAAATTAGTACCTACACGCATGCAAGTTTCTATATTAAATCAATTTATTTAACCAATGGTTGTTGATTGCAAATAATCTAGCGGTTTGTACTACGAGTGAGCTACAAATCTTGATACCTGTGGTTCGATTACCACTAAGTATAAAAATAAGGGTGCACGAACACATAAGTGGTGGAACACACAAGGATGCATAACAATATAAATGCAGAAAACTACACGAAATGGTTATAAAGGCAATTATTTTCAAATTTAAAGCCCAATAGCGTGGGGATGGTAGACAATACATGTTACCACATGTCGTTAGAAAATCCCGCTCCCAACTCAAATAGTTGTAAACAATATCTGATTGACTGGTTCAAGTATCGTAATATTGATCACTCTACATCGATGCTTAAACCAAAACTCTACCAATTGATACTGCAAAACAAACAAAAATTTATTGAATATAAAATTGATACTTTACTTAGAGAACATGGTTACCGCGTCCTTCGTCTACCACCCTACCACCCGGATTTTAACTCAATTGAAAATATATGGGCAATTATAAAAGAAGACGTGGTAGCACAGATGGTTAGCGTTCGCTGTAAGCTTCACAGTACGTGAGCAACCCGGGTTCGATTCGCGCCGGCAACAATGAAATTGTTAATATATATCACTACTTTTCATCTGGTAGGACAGTAGTCAAGCACTTGCTTAGAATATTAAAAGAAATCTATACATTGATTAAAAATTTTAAAATACCTAGTCACCTTGAATTGTCCTAGGTTTTTGACGATCGTTTTTGAGGATCTTAATAAATTCAGAATTAAAATAGGCAAGGTAGCCTCGTTGAAGCAAAATTACTGTTTACACACGAATAGGTCAGCTTGACTGAGGAAGGATTACTCTCTAATAGAATACCAGCGTAAAATAGCAACTCAATGTTGCTGAGTTTCATATCGTGAATGTAGGGAACCGGACACCCTTTTTAATGGAATGGTTTCTTCTAAGTCATCAAGAGCGACAACGCATCTGTGTTCAGGGATGACAACGCATCGTCTACATTTTGATTATAAATCCAAGATAAGCGTAGATGTCTATGGGCCAAAGCATCCATTTACCATCAGGTGA